AATACCTTGAGTTCTATACAAAGAACATATAAGTTAACTATTGGAGCTAACCTCTGCCGAAAGTTCTATACGCTCTCCAAAAACAATAGTGACAATAGCCATTACATTTACAAGTCATTCTTATATTTTGAAAGTTACCGATAGGGTTAAATTTAATATAGTTTTATAATACCTTATGATTTAACTGATTTAAAAGTTAATGCTTTTTCAATAAAACCTTAGAATTAAAGACTTTGCTACATAGATTAACAAAAAAAAATCTGACCCCGATTGAAATTTTAAATGTCATTTAATACAAAAAGAAAAATTATTTTTGTATACCTTTAATAATTTAAGTACTGTTGAATTTTTAAAACTTAAAGCAAAATTTTTCTGAATGAATTTGATAAAAAATTTTTATATACAAATTCTGCAAATTGATTGGCTGATTTCCAACCTCTCAAAACTGATACAGAACCCATCCACCATGTAATGCAACTTTATCACCAGATTTGTGGCAGTGTCTAAAATTGGTAAAGGCTAAAGCTATGTAGACTCGGACAATAACAAAATTAGGAATATGTAGTACATGTAATGTTGAAACATAGCACATACTTGTACTTGTTTCTAAAAGTATATTTTTGCCGAACTCTACATACATATGTATTATTTTATATACTGCTAATTTAATCTAAAATAAATTGCGCCCTTATTATTATATATCTAAATTAGCAAAAATAATAAGGGTGCAATTTATTTTAGCTTAAATTAACTTTATATAATATAATACATATGTACGTAGAGTTCAGCAAAAATATACTTTTAGACACAAGTACAAGTATGTGCTATACGTAATATTTGTTATATTATTTTTAAATTTGCTGTATATATTTTAAGGTTTTGAAAGTATTAGATATAAATATGTCTATTAGAAATATATAGTTATAGCTTTTTATATTTTTTTTTAATATATATACACATTTAAGTTTTAAATATGAATTCAAAAAATTAAAACAAACAATTAATAAATTCTTCTCAATCTAAGATAATAAAACAAATTATGCCTAAAAAAAGAACAACTTTAAAGGGTTATCAAAAAAAAGAACTATGTCTAACAAAATTAAGTAATCCTAAACTAACCAATAATGAATTAGCAGATCAATATCACATTAGTAAGAATTCTGTAAGAGATATTTTAAGAGAATCAGACTATTGGATTAATCTTGATTTTAATAGTCATGAGGCTCAATCACAAAGAAATCGGTTTCTAAATTTACTGAGCTTGAAAATGCCTTATCATTATGGGTTGATTGTGCACTTGATGCTAAATTAATTATTTCAGATTATACTTTAAGTTTACAAGCTCAAGAATTTGCTAATCTTTTAGGAATTTTAGATTTCTGATGATTGGATTTCTAATTTTAAAAAATGAATTAGTTTACATGAATTTAATCATTATGGTGAAGCCAGTAGTGCTTCACTTAAAAGTTTAACTGAATATCACAGTACATTACAAAAAATTTTAAGTTTCTGGTCATTAGAGAATATTTACAACTGTGATGAGACTGGATTGTATTGGAAGATGGAACCATAAAGAAGTTTAGCTAAAAAAGTTATACCAGGCTTGAAAAAAATAAACAAAGAATTTCTGTTTTGTTTTGTACTAATGTTACAGGTAAGTATAAATATTTATTTATTAGTTATAATATTAATTTTAATATAAGATAAATATAAATATTATATAAACTGAACTTTAGTCAGGTTTGAGTTTTGTTTGATTTTGAACTTGACTAACTTTTATATTTAATTGATAATCCATCGATCATCTGGAGAATTTCCTATATTGTCGCATGACGGAGATCATCTATAAGATAGACCCGTATTGGAATTTTCGGGTTATAAGTAATATTATTAGATTTCTATACAAAGCTAGTACCAAAGTAGTACAAGAGATAGAGCAATACTACGAAGTTTTGATTATAAAGTTATA